TTTCTAAGGAGCACTGGAGATCAGTTTCGGAAGATGCTAATAAAACAAGGTCGTCTGCAAACAGCAACCGGCAGTCTAATATCAAAAATAAATTTGTCAACATCCATAACTAGCTATGACGCAAGTAAGTAGCTAAGTAAAAAACTATGCAAATCTAATAAGCAAACAGAGATAAGCTGAAGGATTCATGGTTCAGGGCACCAAGCATTGCAGATGGTATAATACTTTATTGCCGACGTGTTTTGCTACATATACCTAGCATCATATGCTATGTATCTATGTAGCGAAACGCGTCTGCAATAACGTGTTGTACCAACTGCAGTGTTTGATGCCCTGAACAAGGAATCGTTTAACTTGCTGATATAACTATGGGCTCAGAATCAAAAACCTGAACTATTATTTTTAATTGTCTAAACATGAATAAACACGAAATTAAATAAAAAAATCAATCAGAAAACACGTAATCACATAAGGAAATAAGCAACTAGCCACATAGTGAAGTAAACAAATGCGTAATCTTTCCCAGATACCACAATTCATGACAGTTTACAGAGAGCTGTGGTGACAAACCTTTAATACTACAATGCCAATGTTACAACTGAACAAATTTCAGTCTTCAACAGGCTTAATAACAGTACGGAAGACAACAACCTATTGCAGATTGTAATTTATTCCTTTTGAACTACGGGGTTCAGTATCAAAAATAAACGTTGGGAACAGCCCCAGAGAGTTACGATTTAAATAAGAAAACCAAGCAAATCGATTCAGTCACTCAATTAGTCGGTCAGTTAATCAATCAATCAATCACCAGTAAGCACCACTCCGAAGTAGATGAAAGTTACCACTGACTGTCAATGACTGATTGCAGCGTCCTGTAGAAACCGAAGTACTTTTGAATCAGTGAGTCACTTGTGAACAGGAATCAGCTCGCACTTATGCAAAGACCGCTAGACAAGACAGAAACACTCGGTGATTCAGTCGATCATTCGCACCTTCCGAAACATCGAAGACGAGCGGGCACATCGCTGATTTTCCATTTTTCTTTTCGTTATAATTAAGGTTTACATAAAGTACCGTTTGTTTACATCATTACTGATTAGAACAATATCGACACAT